TATATACACACAATGACAACAAAAAAGTTGTAGGCTATGTTAATCCAAAGGGTTTTGTTATATATTTGTATCCGATATATTTAACTTGGACATCCTTAAGTAAAAAAAAAAACTGCAGGTGCTCATAAACTTACAGTATTTAAATGTTGGTGTGGTTTTTTTTCTTTAAGGATATCGGAGGCCGGATGGAGGTTGCCCAAGGGCCACTTTTGGCCCACGGGCCACATGTTGCCCACTTCTGGTTTAGACTAAAGTTGTGGCATTAAATGTGGTGAGCAATATGAATTCAAGCAAAGAACACCAAAACCTTCTCTTATACACGTTATAGAAAGTGTTTTATCTGTAAATCCTCATTATTGTGTGTTTATGGGATGATTCATCCTCAGGAGAATGAAACAAACTGTGGACATTCATTGACACAATTTACCTGATTTTTCCATAAAATCAATAAAAAGAGATGAGTTTTTGCTGTGAATATGAAAATATGTGGAGATAATCCTACATGAGGCCTGTCCTGAATTCAGTTTTTTTTTTTTTTACTTTTGTTACTGATGAGCTTCTTGGGCAGCTGCCATCACCAGCAAGGATGCTCAAAAACAAATAATTATTCATACTAATAATCTTCCACATTCATGTGCAAATAGGCTCCCTCCCTGGTATCTGAGCAGCTCCAAGGTTGTACGTGGGAGGTTCCTCTAACTGTTGCCTGACTTGACTTATTTCATGCCAAGAAAGAATCCGTCTGAGGGTCAAGGATGTGTTGCAAGCTACGTTTGAGAAGTTTGGCATAAAAGGAGAGTTTAGTTAAATGTGAAACTGAGCAGAGCTTCTTTCATGTGTGATTTTTAGGATCTAAGAAGTATAAAAGAGAAAAAGTAGAAGGAACCACAAATGAAATCTCATTTTGTGATGTTTAAATGAATGCTAAGAGGTGGATTTGTTTCCAGAACTAGTGTGAAAAACTTGCTGTGATAACCCCGAGTTGTTTTCTTTCTTTTTGAGGCCTTCAGATAATGATGGAAGGAACCAACGACACCGAGCTTATGTACGAGTTACAGCTCACAAATGAATTGCTCCATTCCATGAAAACCAAGTTCCTAACTTTGCCTTTTGGTTGGATTCAGCCTTGTGTTTCTCAGCATAACCTCATGTTATAAGCCTCGCTCACTCCGGTGTCATGCGTGCCTCGTATATACATGTGTGGCTATAAATAGTGCAAAGACTGGCTCCCTTCAGAGAGCACTGCTGACAGGAGTCATGTTCTCCATGTGGCAGAAAGCACCGGGTGCTGACCTGAAAGAGCTTGGGCCGGAAGAAATGCTGGCAATAACTATCAAAATACTGATCATCAACTGGTGGTCCATGGGCCAGAAGTGGACCACCAGAGGGGTGTTTCTTCCAGCCTGCAGGTGGATGTGGTGGAGATATTTATATTAATTTTTTATAAATTGATTTTGCATTTGACATACCTGCAAACTCACGAGGGATGAAAAAGGTGGAAAAACTAGCGCCCTCACCCCTACCCCAGAAGATTTTGTGATATTTAACATGTAAATTAATCATTCTGGTAAACTCCAAGAAGAAAATTAGGGGAAAAGACAACATGCTTAAGGTAAAAAAAAAAAAAACACATTTACTAACATATCCTAATTTAATGAGGACATGCAAGATGGCTAGTTAACCAAAAAAAAAAAAAAAAAAACAAGCAACAACAGCAGCAAGCCAACCAGAGAAACCAAATATAGCACCGCATTTTGCTAATAGCAAAAACACATGTCGTAAAGACGTACTGCTAAGCTAGCGGCACACAATACAGATGCGCGAGCTAAGATGCTACAGATGTAGCGCTCCGCTTCTGTAACGCATCCTAACCTTCGCTCGAGAACTCCCGGCACTTACCTAGTGCTAAGTCAGCACTAGGTAAGTGCACTAGCTTAGCGCTTATGAGCTAGCACGAGCTTTGTTGCGAGCAAGGTTGTGAGCTAGCTAGCGTGACTTATGTAGCACTAAGCTAGCAGCACCAATAAAGACATGATAGATAACAGACGTAGTGGTCTGCTTCTATAATGCATCCTGACCCCCGGCCAACAACTCCCGGCACTTACGTAGCACTAAGCTAGCACTACGTAAGTGCATTAGCTTATCACTTACAAGCTAGTGCGAGCTTTGTTGTGAGCACAGTTTGAAAGCTAGCTAGCGTGATTTTCATAGTGCTAGCTTAGCGCTACACAAGTCCAGTCAAAGGGACATTATGCCATCTACCACGCCTCTGACCACCCCCAAAAAACAAAAAACTCTACAGATCTAGATTCCCGTAAATGACTTATCGTAAATGACATATTTTTGATTGAAATCAGCAATTATCGCTGAAAAGCAACAAGTCTGCAGGTATGATTCGAGGCTCTTGGACTGTGATGACGTGTTCGTCTTTCAAACATCTTCCACCAGCGGAGCCCGTTCATCTTATCTTGGCGACATTCGTTAATCCCTCAAGTTGTACGGAGCACGTTTACAGCTAGGTTATTGTGACGCTGTTGGTAAAAGCGGATGATGTTTCCTTAAAATTAATAAAATAGTTGCGTCATGCTGATACGCTGCCATCGTTTGAAAAGAAAACCAAACTGAGCCAAAATGGTTGCTTTTACTAAGTCGTCAGACTGGCTCTGACCCTGGTGAGGCTGTGAGAGCAGAAAGACTATGTGTGTCAAACTCAAGGCCCGGGGGCTAAATGTGGCCCTCGTTGACATCTTATCTGGCCCCCAAAGTGTTATTTTAAAGGTAAAATACTTTTATCACTTTAATTTTCTTCAGTAATCTTTGATTATGACGTCAAAAGTGCAACAGAGAACATCAAATGAGGCCAATCCAACTCTTGTTGAGGAACCTGCGACCAGGAAAAGATGTTGGGATCTAACTTGAGTTACTGTAGACTTTGAAACCAGACCTTTGTTTGAAAAAGGATTTAATTTTGGACCCTTTGTAAGTGAGTTTGACACCCTGCTCTAGAAGAAGTATTATAAAGTTTACAACACGTGTCAAGTTCCTGGACAAATATTGCCCTCCTGAGGGCTCCCATGTGGGTAACTTGTCTCTTGGTCCCCTGTCCAACAAACTGTTCCTTTGATGTGGCCGTCCTGCTGCCTGAACCAGACTTTAGTCTGGGCACCCACCAAACGTGCCGCTGCACGTCCCTGCTTCCAACCAGGAGCCAGGTCCTGGTGTCCTGCTCTGAGGGCTCACTGACGTTTGATGAGGAGCCACGTGGGGAGGTTTGGTGTGAGGCGAGACGCGCCGGGACTCAACATGCATGGGCTCAACGCTTCGAACTAGAGCAGGGCAACGGTCTCTGCCCGAGATCTAACTGCACATCTACAGTACATGTACACAGAACTGTGGTAAATCATGCAGAATAATGATGACATCACTGCAGGAGCTCTACATCCAAACTGGGTTTATTCCACACTGTTTGATTTTTATTATCACTATTGTTGGACCAGTAACTGACTGTCATTCACTTTTGTGGTCTAAACTTCACCTTAACTACACACACACACACACACACACACACACACACACACACACACACA